TTGTAAACAGAGTATTTCTTCAGAATGGGGCAAAATATTTGAACAAAGGGGAGTTTTGGGGAACATGTTTCCTTTTAGAAAGTTTTAGTTTAATGGTGGAAGAAAACATCTAAGATTTTATCTACAAGGTTTAATTATTATTGCTTTATACATGAGATAAGATACGGGGATAAACGTAGAATACAGTAGCAACCAACTATCTATATATAAATTTGGCTTGTCTGTCTGTTTGTTTGTCTGTTTGTTTGTTTGTTTGTATCCAATAAACGTCAAAACGGCTGAACCGATCGGCCCAAATTTTTTGTCGGACATCTAGGGACTCCAGGGAAGGTTTATGAATGATAAAAATTAAAAAAAATGTGTTTTAAAGGTTATTAATTTTGTAGAAAAATTAAATTCTTGAAAATCCGCGAATTTTTTTTTAAAAATCCGCAAAATTTTTTTATTCTTTGTTTTAAAATGTAAACAAAAAGATCATGTTCACAATTTAAATAGAAGACGGGCGCGAAGCGCCTTGAATTTCTAGTAAATATATATATATATATAGAGGATATTGTATTCAATATCTTTTTCAATATTTCTATTCTATTTCTATTCATATATAGAATTTTCTATAAACTTAAACGAAGAGTTCCTATCGGAATTCCGTTGCACGGAATTGTGCGGAATTGCGTGGAATTTAAGGGCTTGCTATTGTGTATTGCGCGCATTAAAATCCACTTGCGTTGGAAACCATACGTTGAATTTTTGACAATTAATTTTAAATTGAAATCTAGATTGGTTAACATAATTCTTCTTAGTCTATATATATATCTGTCTATCTGTATATCTATCCATCACTGGTCTATTTATCTACCTCTGAACTATCTATGAGTAGGATCTATTTGATCGTGAGAAAGGTTTGAGAAATATGATCTCTACCATCATCTTCTTCTCTGTTCTATTTCTATCGTTAGTTACAAAATATGCTAAAGATGGGTGATCCGGGGGACAAAGTGAAGGGGGGGGGGTTCCCAAGGAGGGTGGGCACAGAGTAGGGTTAATGAATCGTAAAGAAAGTGGGAGGGGGATATTGATTTTAAGAAACATTTTCAATCTCTCTGACATTTATGGGATTAGTGTTTACATGTAATTTTAGATTATGAGGTTTCAAATTTCATTAAAAGCAACCTGGCAAGGGAGAAGAGGGGACGGCGTTTTTTTAATTTTAAAGAATTATTAAATGAAAACGGTGTAAAAAAGTTGTGTTTTAAAAAGTCTTTATTGGTTTAATTATGTGATGCTGATTAAAGAAATAGATTCATTTTTGAATTTACAGTACAATTCTTTTAAAAGTATTGATTTTGAGACTTACTCTGCCACTCCAGGAAAAACCTGGAAAGAATTACAACTATGCTTCTGGCAGTTAGTTAAATTGGTTCTGCTTGAAGCTATTTTTAAAATTCATTTAGTCCATATTTAATTTAAACTTATATGATCTGTATTCTGTAATGAATCAGTGTTTTTAAACAACCTTTGAAAATTATGTCAATTTAGAATATTTTGTTTATGTTACAAGTGTGATAAAAGTGATGAACAAAGAAAAGATAAGATTTATATGTGTTTGCACCCCCCCCCCCNAAATTTTACAGTGTGGTGTAAAATGTTAAAGATATGATAAACTGTTAAACTGAACCCCAATCTTATCTAATCTTAACTTTAATGTTTATCTCAGCAAATTTGCAAGAGTTTAATAAAAAATATCATTTTATTTTGTCGATTTGAAGAATTGTGCAGTTTGAGTTTTTTGTTTTCTTCATAATCAAATCCTGATGTATTTTCGTTCAAAGCACCTCAGTTTCGTAGCATTGTACTTATTCCTCACATCAGTTTCTTCGTTCAATCTAAATAATAAAACAAGACATTCGTTTATATATATATATATGTTGCGTATAGCCGGCCAAAATTGTATTTTTTTTTCACGGGCAGCGCCGGGCATTTCAGCTTGTAATCAATATTTCTATATTTATTCACGCATGTTCAATGTCTTAGGACTGCACATTTCTTACAGCTTTTATTCTGCTTAAATGGATTGTTAACATAACTTCAAGTGTCTCTCCGTGCAAAAACGGAAACACCCGATTCACATTTTACAATGGTACCCTTGAAACCTTTATCTGATCAAAAATGTGGAAGATATTGTTGTTTTTTGAGTTTTGAAAAAAAAAATTCTGAAAATTTTAATATATTTTTTTGCAGTAAAAATGCGTAAGTTACTGTAGAGAAAACCCAATAGAAAATAAACAGTTTCAACAATAAAAATATTTTTATATAATTCATGCTTGATCAGAAAAAGCTTTTAAGGGTACCAATGTAAATCGGGCATTACCCTTTTTGCATGGAAGGTCTTATTCTTTCCCCCTCCTTCTCCCCTCCCCTTTTAGTTGAATCCTGATTTTCCCCTGGGTGTTATGTCGTGGAACTGCTCACATTTGACCCTTTGTAAACTCATCTTGTAACCCCTTGTGCGCTCATTGTGCGCGTAAACACCAATTTACAAACCATCGAACCTACAAATTGCCCCTCAATACGTGCGCGGAATACAATTGTGAAATGTAAAATTGGGTCGGTAAATTTTCAGCCGAAGAAAACATTTTTAAAATTTAAGTTAGATTGATTAAATACAATCGTATCATATGAAATCAAATATTCCTAATTTTTTAGAAATTTAATTATGTAAGATTGAACCCGTTTAAACAGCAACATGAAGAAAGGATCAATTATTTTGAAACTATTCTATAATTTTATTCTTACAGGAGACCTAACAAAAAATTTCCCTCTCGCCCTTTTCTTCAAAAAAAGTTTCTCTTTCTCTTTTCAAATTTCTTAATCCCCCCCCCCTTCCTTGTCCTGTTTCCTTGCCCTGACATGCTACGCTAATTATCTGGTGTAATTATGACAAAACTAGAAATTATCTTTATATCCGCCATTGTTAGCCGCCATTTTTAAATAGTTGAAATGTCAACTTCATTAGATCGGATTGTTTCCCGCGTTTTTTATTTGTTGCGGAATCATGTTTTTACAACTATCAAACTATTTCCGTCCGGTGCAATTGCTTTAAGTCCAATCTTCAAATGATGCTGTGGAATATGAAATTTTGCCGGATTATATTTTCCTGCTTTTAAGTTATTTAGATTTCAAATTTTTAATAAAATACAAAAAAAATTGTACTCTAATTTAAAATTTAATCGACAAAATGAAGCTGGAACTGAGACGGGGA